TACTCAAGGTCGTTTCACAATTTGAAAGATCCACAGAGGTATCTTTTGCTGCTCAGCTGATTGCTAGCTGAGCTGGCAACCCCCAACAGCCATGAAACATTCCACTTTTCAGTCTGTCTCCTTGTCACAACTGGGAGCTGAGCTGACGTTCCAGGCAGCAGTCATGCTAATCTTGGAAAACTGCATCACGAATATTTGGCCAGCTCTAATGAACCAACTTCAACCACATCCTAACAGGTCATAAAGCCCTCAGGGTGGGGTAGAAAGCAAGGCCTCACAGCTGCCAGAAAAACCAGCTCCATCTTGCCCTGGGCACTTTGTCATGGTTGGTCTCCCTTGACGGTTCCTAGGGAAGCGTGGCCTCCAGATGGAGCCTTGTGGAATGTGCCTGTGTAGGGTACAGAAATTCTACACACAGATAGCCTGGAACTAAACTTTCTCACAGTGCTGGAACTGAGAAAATGGAGAAATGGAGTACAGTAAAATGTCAGTACAGTTCATTGAGCTGAACTGTCTTTTCCAGGAAACAAGGCCCAAATGTGGAGTCAGAGGATGGGGCCCTAGTTCCTTGTGCCCCAGAACAGCTACTCATCTGCTGTACAACTCCAGAGGTCCTAAGGCAACCCAGTACTGATTCTTCCCCACTCTTGCTTCCTGCACAAGGTGCCAAGCCTAGTATATGCTATACACTCTTTATATAAGAGAAGTTTCTTAGAATCTAAGGACTATGCCTGATGCAGCTTTCCCTGCTGGCGTGACTAATCTTGACAACTTGACTACATATACAATCAGCTAAAGTGTGGGGGGGCATGTCTGTGAGGGATTTTCTTGTTTGGCTCATTTGAAGTGGAAAAATCTACCCTAAAACTGGACCAGGCCATCTGATGGCAGCCCACTTAAAAGGACATGGAGGAAGGCTACTTTTGCTTTTTGCCTGCTTGTCCTCACTCTCACTGGCAAGCTCACCTGTCCTGTTGCTAAGACATTCCTTCACTGGTATTAGAACTGATACCAGTTAGGGGTTAAATATAGACTGGATACCAGCAGCTTCCTAGGAATCCTCTGGGACTCCAGCATAGAATTGGAACTGCCGACATCTAGTCTCCTGGGCTGAACACCTACCAGAAGAACAACCTTTGTGTTAGGAGACAGTTATTGTTGAACTGGCTGGCCCACAGCCTATAAGCACTCTAATCATATATATTCATTTGTTGTAACAGTTCTGTTCCTTTCAAGGACCCTGAAACACTCTTTTACCAGTGTTCACTTTAAATACCACCAACAGGAAGGTTATAAAAGCAAGCACAACAGACATCTGTAACATAGGCCTCTGGGACAAACACATGCCTCTGTTCACAAAGGATCTGTTCCCCACACATGGAGTGGCTGTGGGCAGCAGTCTTGCTTAGCACCTATGAGGAGCCTCCTCTGAGCAGGAGGGACCAGAGAACCAAGACTGTGATCTCTGGGGTCCTGTAGCTAGAACATCAAGCTTTTATAAAGACCATAGATCATTTGGCCAGAAGCAGCTTCATGAGCTGGTGTTCTTGGGCAACTGTCCCCTCAAAGAATTGGAAGGCAGTTTAGAAAGTGGCAGCAGATTTTTGATTTGGATGATGGAGGTCTGATTCCAACAGCTTCCTAACAATGATCTCATTTGTTTTGCTCTGTTGCTGTAACCAAATACCTGAGGCTGGTAACTTGTTAAAAAAAAAAAAAAAAAAAAAAAAAAGAGGAGGGAGGAGGTTCATTTCACTAACAGCTCTAGGAGTTCAAACATTGTTCAGGTCTGCTTGGCTTGAGAGAGGGCATCTTGGCTACTTTACTGAAAGAAGACATGGCATCACAGCAGGAGCTTGTGTTAAAGAGATATTGCATAGCAAGGCAAGAAGCCAGAGGAATGCAGGGGCCAGGCTTGTCTTGTGCTTTTACATCACCCCTACCAAGGTCCAGAAATTAAATTAATAAACTCCTCCCACTTTTCTCTTCTCTTCTCCTCTCCTCCCCCCCCTCTCCTCCTCTCCCTGCCTCTTCCTCTGCCTCTGCCTCTGCCTCTCCCCACCTCACACACATACCCAGTACTATCTTTTACAGCTTTTCAGTTTTATTTTGAAATTTCGAGTAGGGGTGGTGTAGTTTAAATTTCCCCTTTGCACATCCATGGGAAGAAACCCAAAGAGTGGGAAGCCATCACCAAGTGATGCTCAAGTGCTTCTGAACAGTGCAAGCAGCCAGTGGAGTTGTGTGGGCAGAGAAGTCTTGTGCAGGAGGGGGCAAAAAGGGGGCAAAAGAGAGGCTTCCAAATATCTATTCCGGAAACTAAATCCTGTAACCATGCAGGTCTCATTGCCAAAGGGACACAAGGCACAAGGTGGAAATGTCATCAGTTAACCTTCAGGTGATAAGCACCCAGAACTATCTCCAATGAACCCAGTGCCTTCATGACAAGAGTCCTGAGTGGCAAAGAATGAGGCAGAAACATCAGTGTTATGTGATTCCATGTAAGAATGGGATGGCTGGCCATCACTGGTTTCAAAAATGAGGAAGACACAAGCCATGAGGCAGGTAACCCAGAAACTACCATAGGAAACCTAACCCTACTGGCTAAACACTGTTGAGCTCTTTATTTCTTGAAGCGAGGTCCCATCAAATTACTAGCCTTTGAAACAATGAGGTATTTAGGCTTGGTTGTTTAAATGTTTGCAATGGATTTCTTACAGCAGCAACAGGAAACTCATACAGTGAATGAAGTTAAAAGTATTGCATGATGTCCCAGAGACATGGTTTGAAGTGAACTTCAAAGTCTGCCCCTCTTCTTAGAGATGGATGCCAGGCAAGTCTCATGCATCCTTCATATGCAGGTTAGGTCTTATTGTTGGGGCTGTGCACTGTTCCCAGATGAACAATAGGAACCAGAGGATAGTGGGAATGTGAGAATCTGCTCAGCCAGAGCTCCAGCCAATTGCACAATAGGAGAGAAGAGATAGTGCAGTCAAGGCTGGGAGTGAAGGTCATAGCATGACCTCACGCATGGCCTGCTCACTGACTTCTGAACCACTGCCTTTTTTTATATAGCCCAGGTCTAACTTCCCAAAGGTGACATTGTCCACAGTGAGATGGGTCCTCCCACATCAATCAAGAAAATGCCCCACTGACATGGCCACATGCCAATTCTGCAGCTGACATGCCCACTTTCCAGATTTTTCTAGTTTGTGTCAAGTTGACAAAAACTATGACAGAAACCAATAGTAGCCATCACTTCTGTGGAGTGCTGATGGGGAATTATGATGCGCAATGGAGGAGACAGTGTAGACCTTTGCTGAGGACTGGCCGTGCACTAACATCTCATATCTCTATGTAATTTATCATTTTCTTAGCCCCTTAGCAGGGGTTAGAGGGAAGTGGCATACCTGGGATTCAGGTGCAGAGCCCAGCCTCTTCCAAGCCATACTTGTTGTACTCAAGTTTTGATCAGCCTGGCCTCAGGATGTGACAGGTGTCTTTCTGCCTTGGACCCTTCCTGTCTTCTTTTCTACTAGAAATGGCTGTCTAGGTACTTCTCGTCACACCTTCTAGGTCATAAATCTTAAGATGCAGCTCTGACATCTACCCCAGCTGTGGACACACTGTCAACATGTTCCAGAAAGAAAGGGATTCACGTCCCTCTGGGCTGGAGTAAACCACGATGAGTAGATGCTGACGGCTGTGAAGCTCCTCTACCATTGGCCTCCTGGCCACCTGTGGAATGGGAGGGAGTCTGACTGCTTTGTGCAGAGCATTCCCAACCATCACGGTGGGATGTCCAGCTGGTGTTCACAAAGGTAGCAGCCTGCCGGGTGTAGCACAGCAGTCATCTGCTACTAGACAACTATACTAGTTAACCCTTTAAAAAAAGATTTTATTTTTAATTAGATGTATCACATGTGTCTGTGTATAATATGCACACATAAGTGCAGAAGTTTGCCGAGGCCAGAAGAGGGTGTCAGAGCCCCAACAGCTGGAGTCACAGGTGGTTGTAAGCCATCTGGCATGGTTGCTGGGAACCTAACTCTGGACCTCTGGCAGAGCAGCACATGCCCTTCACCACTGAGACATTTTTCTAGTCCAATGACATTTTATCTTGATTCTCCTTTGCTTGGGTTGAGAAGTGCCAAACTTAGTAAAGGACACTTTCTGGGTTTCCAGGAGGGATTAAGGGAAAAGACCTGCCCAACCCTGAATGTAGGCTTCAGTGTTCCATAGTTTGGGGTCCTGGATAAAAAAAAAGGGGGGGGGGAGAGAACCCTGCTAGCACACACATGTCCCCAGTCTGTGTTCTGGCCACCACAAGGTGAGTAGCTATTGCTTCAGGATCCTCAACCTTAACATTTTGCCTCATATCAGGCCCAGAATAGATGAACTCAGCTAGCAAAGGATTGTGAACTTTGAAACCCTGAGCTAATAGAAATTCTTCCAGTTGTTTATGTTGGGTATCATGTCACAAACAGGATGGTATATGTCCATTTTGAGTGGTCACTTCCCTAAAGTCACATCTCCTGGAGAGCTAGACATTCTTAATATCATGAGATCAACTTCCAGGATCATAAGGCACAGTGTTTTTGGCATCCTGGGATGCAGGTACCCAGGGTTTCAGCTGCACCATTGCAGGGTGATGGGATCTTGGCTTCTGCTCCCCTCCTTGTGCCTTATAGATCCCTGCCACTTGCCACCCCAAGTACTCATCCATAGACAGAAAGGTGAAGTGTTCACACATGAAGCTCTCAAGCCCTCAGGTCTCCCTCAACACTGAACACTCTCTGGAGTCTGGAGTCTGGCACACAGGAAGACCTGTGTAACCTGAACTTTCTGGTCCCAGTCATTGGGCCAACCCCAGAACCTCCAAGGACCTGTGTTGAATAAGTGTGATGCTAGATGCTTTCCCTAAACACAAGGATGCTTCCTTAACCTGTGACAGGCCAAGGCATGCCTGAGCTTCTCCTGACAGAACAGGCAAGATCAGCTATGTCCACAGGTCAGAGTTTATTTCATAGCAACTCATTTATAGCAATTTCAAGTACAAGATTCTGTCCAACATCTTCAACACATGAAAACAGAAAAGCACAAGTTGGTAAGGCACCTGCAGAGCGATGAGGCTCCCCTTTTGGCTTGAGACTTCTGGGTAACTGCTCACATGTCTGTTGAGCAGAAAATAAAGTTATCAAAACTTTGCTTGCACACATGATGAGGTGACAGTTTTGGAGCCTACGACAGTGTGTTTTTCAGGTGAGTTGGCTTACACTGAGAGTCAAGCTGAAGAGGCATGGCTACATACACAGCTCACAGAATCCTCCAGAGGCACCAAGCTGTACATTTGCCACTTTTCAGCTTCAAAGAAAACCAACTTTACATTTCACCCAGGCACATACTTTTAAAATTTCTCAGCCCAAATATCTATTTTCAAAAAGTAAAAATGCAGGAAAACCTCAAGTACAGTCAGACCTTATGACTCCATCGAATGTAGTAACATATTGAAAACTTGCAGGTCAGTGGCAACTACATTTGTGGCGTAAACAGTCCAGGGGTATCCATCCTAGAAGAAAGTGTCCAGACTTGGTCACACAGCATCCTTCATGCCACTTCCCAGTAGCCCAGAGGCTCAATAGTTCTAGCACAAAACGTCAAGTTTGTGTTCTAAATGCTCATTCCCTTGGTCTCCACTACATTTACTTTTATTATAACATTTATAATTAAATAACTCACTCTTCCCCACCCACCCTCTGTACACAGGGCAGTCAGAACCCCCACTTGGAGGCGGGCTCTCCAGACAGCCAAGCACATTAGGGTAGTAAGCTCAGTCACTAGGTCAGTTACAAGCATTTCCGTAAGTTAAGCAATGTTACCACTCAGGCCACAATGAAACACCTCAGGAAAAAGCGGCTGACCTCACTGGCACCATGCTGAAGGCTCAGTCACAAACAGTTCGTGTATTTTAGTGGTTCAGCAATTAGCCTTTTAACTTTAATAAAGGCAGGCTTGGGTCCTATTTACCAGCAGGAAGAAGTCTTTGACCTGATATACGTCCTGATGTTTTTTTTTTTCTATAGAAAAACATAAGGTTGATTATTTTTTTTAATATAAAAAAATTCATATAGAAAATTTTGTTACCAGGTGGCCACTTTGCTCACAGTAAACCAGAAGCTGTGATTCATTGTCTTCTGTGGCATCTTGGAAGTACCTACAACACCATAAAACAGCTCTCCCAACACTGGGCTGTCTTACAACAGTCAGCCAGAAGACCCTCACCTTAAAGGACAAGTGCCACAAACATGACTTTCTGGATGGCCGCCACCAAGAAGGTGCACATACCTCCCCCAGTACAATGCCTTCCTAGTCACAGGGCCCTGAAGGCACATCAAAAGTATGTTCATCCCACATTTTAAGATGGTCTCAAAAAATGTGTAAATGAAGATAAGATTCTACAAAATGATGTCTGTTCAGACAAATTTCAAGGAAAGGAAGGCATGCCCCACTAATATCTGCAACCATGCTTCTATGAGTCTCAAAGTTCCATCAGAAAACCACTCATCTGTGTGTATGTGTGCACACACACGTGTGTGTACACAGATGGACATTTCAACAGACTTAAGGTCCCACAATCGACTATGGCTTCTCTCAAAGAAGGTGCCTCGTTCTTACAAACAATGTGAGTGTGACAGCCTAAAGCCCCTAGACAAGAACTTCCTCTTGCTTTCATCACCAGGACACAGATGGCTCAGCATACAAACCAGTCCTGAAAGCAAAGAGCACTCTCTGATCCCAACATGAGTTGCTCCCTGAAAAAACGTTAGATCTGCACCTAGCACTTGCCTTCCAAGAGTTATTTCCGCCATTTTCATAGCAACATAACTGGTTATGTGATTAAGAGAAAATACATAACAAGCAAGTGTACTCTTCAGTCAGCACAATGCCAGGAGCCAGTGGCATGTTTTGGTTGTTTTAAAAAATCTTAAGCAAGTGAGTCTGAGTAAATGACAAGGGATGGGTATGAGGTCTTCAGACAGAAGCTTCTCTCCTTTTTCAGAGTTTTGCTTTTACAAAAGCAGGTATGGTTTGTGTGGTTTCAAAGCTGGGACTTACTCTCACCAAGTCTGGTGTGCATGTGTCAATCACTGAGCACTCAGTAGCCCTTAATCAGGAGAGAGTCACAGTCTCCTTTGTCCTGTGAGATGCAGCAGAAATTCTTGCCGACACCTAGCTTTGAAGAGCCCTTTGCATATGAAATATAAATTAATCCAGAGTTCTACAGCTGTAAGCTGCAGTTCTACAGCTTCCATAGTTATGAAAAAAAAATCTTAACTTCCAAGTTTCTCTAACATTTTGCATATGGATCTCAACCCTAACCTCACAGACAGGAAATTAAGGACAGAAAGGGGTTGCTTTGAGGGCTTGTCCTATGACCACACCCACATGTTGTAAAGAGTTGTTGCAGCTTAAATACCAGCTGTTTGCAAGGGTCAGGCCAGGCAGCAATACTTTCTCCACCACGATTTGGACAGGTCCCGCACCTTATCTGGGGTCCTGCTTTTAGACTTCTTTGGCTGTTGCTGGGAGTCTGAGTGCTGGATGCCAGCAACAATGGCAGCGTCAAACACCTCTTTGAGGTTCTTTTGAGTCAAGGCTGAGCATTCAATATAGGAGACAGCTTTGATTTCCTCAGCACATAGCTTTGCTGCCTCCTCAGGGACGGGCTTCTCTTTGCATTTGTCCAGTTCGATGAGCACTTTGACATCTTCTCTAAGGTCCGACTGTGTCCCAACCAGGATGATGGGGGTCTTAGGGCAGTGACACCGAATCTCCGGTACCCACTTCTCACTGACATTCTGGAAGGATGTGGGGCTCACCACACTGAAGCACAGCAGGAAGATGTCTGCATTGGTGTAGCAGAGGGGCCTCAGCTTGTCAAACTCATCCTGAAACCAAACAGTGCAAGCCATTACTTTGGTTAACTCTCACCACCTTAGTGAATGACCTTGAGGACCAGGGTAGTCACAAAAACCCTATCTTTTTACAGTGAGGAGCTAGTACCTCAGACTTGCCTGCCCTTGCACACAGGTGCAGCCTCTATAAGTTGAGGGACAGCATAGCCTTAACACTCCAAGTATGTTCTTTGTCTCCTCAGTGATCATGCCATATGCTACAGAAAGGAACTCAAAGCAAATGAGATCTTGCTTTTTCTGGCCTTTAGCTCTTTTTTAACTCTTCTAACTTGGCTATCTCATCCATGTTCGTACTCAAGAGCTGACAGGGTAAACTCTAGTAGTCTATTAATGGAACTCCCCTCTGAGATCCAGCCCTGCTCTGCCTGACCACAGCTGTGAAGGATGCCAATTCCTCCTGCCAGCCCCAGTCCACACAGTATAGAACTGTGGTTCTCAGAAACAAGAAATTCAGAAATGAAACTAGGGATCTGTGTAGGCCGTTATCAGTAGCAGTTTAAAGAACTGGTGCCTCACTGTCACCCACAGACACTGGCAATGCAGTCTTGTCCTGGCTGTATCTTCTTTCTTCCCTTTCTCTTACTTTTGTTCCTTCTTTCGTCTCTGCAAACGGCTGAGCTCCCGCTGTGCTTCAGACAGATAGTGTACTGTAGAATGAGCACAGCTGTCCCAGTGAGCACAGCTGTCCCAGGGTACAGAGACCTGGGGCAGGTAAAGGAACACGGATGGGCTGCAGTCTACCGACAGACTGTCCAAACACCAGACAAAACAGGCATGAGCCAGGCATCCATGTTAGCATCTCCTGTCAAACATCTTACAGAATGCTACCCCACCAGTTCCTGTTCACAGGGAACTCCAGCTCAGCCTCACCCCAGGAAAGCTTTCATATCATCTCACTCTTATCTGAAATGTGTCTGTGGGTCACATCTTCCAGCATCCAACACCGATGACTTTCCAAGGCAGGAAAAAGGCAAATGCTTTCAGTGTTTTCCATTACTCAGTTGGTGGGTTCCGATCACCCTATTTGCAGGCACATTATTCTCCAACTATGGCTGTCTGTGCTGGGTTTCTATTGCTGTGATAAACATCAGGACCAAAAACAGCACAGGGAGGAGAGGGTTTATTTGACTTTACAGCCTGCACTCCATCATCCAGGGAAATCAGGGCAGGGACCTGGAGGCAGGAACTGAGGTAGACACCATGGAGGAGTGCTGATTACTGGCTCGCTTAGCCTGCTTTCGTATAGCACACAGGACTATCAGCCCACTGTAACCTCATACAGTGAGCCAGCCTTCCCACATCCATCACTAAGAAAATATACCATAAGCTTGCCCACAGGCCAATCTGTCAGGGATGTGTATTATTTACTTTTCTATTGCTATTACAAAACACCATGGCCAAGGTAACTACAAAAAATAAAATACATACATACATACATACATACATACATACATAATTAGGCATTTAATTGAGCCTATGGTTTCAGAGGGCAAGTTTGAGTCCACAATGGCATAGCAAAGGCATGGTGGTAGGGATGGCTAAGAACTCATATCTTGATCCACAAGCAGGAAACAGAGGGAGCCCACTAAGAATGGCACTAGTCTTTTAAAACCTCAGTGTGTGTGTGTGTGTGTGTGTGTGTGTGTGTGTGTGTGTGTTTTGGCAGCAAGACACACCTCCTCTAGGAAGGCACACCTTCTAATCCTTCCCAAACATCTCCACCAATGGGAACCAAGTATTCAAACAAATGCACCTATCAGGGGAGGCAGAGGGGCTTTCCCATTCAAAGCACCTTAGGTTTCCTCTTCCCAAATGACTCAGTTCTGTATCAAGCTGACATAAAAACCAGCCAGCACAGGCTGCTTTCTCGGGTTTAAGGGAACCAAAATTAGTCATATTTGTATTAGACGTTCTTGGTCTGAGGGTCTATTTCCACTGTGGGTTAATAACAAAGTGGCCGCATAAGTCAACAATTAACGAGCTCAAGGGAGAACCCAGCAGCTGGGGGTGTCTCTGCCTCGGATGAGGTCCCTGTTATAATTTATTTAAAAAATGGTTGGGAAGAGGTCACACCGTACAACAGGGCACAGATGGGAGGTTCATTGGAAGAGGAGAGAGGAAGGGGCCAAAAGGCGACAGAGAAGGAGGCAGAGAAGGGGCAGAGACTGGCCCCTGGGGACAAGAGTGGCTGAAGAGATGTGAGATGGGCAACGTCCGCCTTTTATAAGGGAGTGTATTGCACAGGGGGTGCTCTTAGTGGCTGCAGTAGAGGACATATCCTGTCAGGACCCTAAGGGCAGGCCAGTACAGATGCCTGAATACTAACAGCGCCTATATGAGAGCTGAGAAAGAGCGGCTTCAGTTTCTTACTGCCAACTTTGTGCTGAAAGAGCAAACGTAGAAACATAAACCAAGTAACTGGGCCAGCTCACCAGCTCAGGGACTTTTCCACGAGCCACTCCTCCTTTTCTGGGCTTTGAGAAAGGAACATAACCCTGACCAGGCTCTGGCCATGCTGGGGATGAGACAGACATACAGGGACAAAGCAGTCACTCTGGCCATATCCTGGGGCTCACAATGGCTTACTGACCAGGCTTGGAGCATTGCTCTCCGAACCTCTGCGATTCTAGCTAGAAAGGTGAAACAGAAACAGTCCCTGTGCAGTGTGGACCAGAAACCCTTGAGATGTGCTATAGAGATGCAGCTGGAGCACACCCTCAAGCACACACCCAAGGTCAGGCCAGCATACATCTTTGCCAGGCCTGAAGTGTGAGCTCCGCAGAGAATGTTAAGGGAAGGACAGACACACACATACAGGGTTGTAGATCCTTCTAGTTGTGCCCTGTTTTCCCCCTCTTTTTAGCGTGAAGATTTTTTCCAAGTACACCATGGGTCAGGTGGAGAAGGCAGCAAAACACCTTTCCTTCAGCAACACTCTCTGCTCCCAGGCCAGCTACATTTCTTACAGTCACCTATCCATCTGTGCTCTATTTGCTCGTGGGACTATGAATCCAATGTTAAACGCCTACCACTGCCCCGACAGGGAAACTCAAAGGGAGCAGAAGTGAATTCTGGGTATGTTTGGGACAAGTGGAGCCACGCTGGAGTTCTGGCTCATTTAACAACCAGGGATGCCCATGCTCATGCCCAGCAGCCTGGGTAACCTGTATATCCATTCCTTCTCCTGAAAACAGGAAGAACTTTGACATGTAGGTGTCATGTCAGATCCCTCAACAGGTGGGCTGCAGATCCGGAGCAGGGAGGGCAGAACAGCTCTGACGGGCTCTGCTGCCATCAAAACAAGCACTTGCCTGTCCTGCCGGTATCTCTCTCGCCAGGCATGTGCTTCTAGAAAAGTCTTTGAAGCTGATTTGCTACAGATCTTTAGATGAACCCTGATGGTTACTTAGTGGCCTGTTTTCTGCCAGCTAGTCATCAGGCTAGAGGTACAGCACTCTCATGGAAAGCCTGCAGAGCCCAGGAGACCAATTTCCAAACAAGAGCGCAATGTTAAAGTCTTATCTCCTGATTATAATTTCCTGTGAAAATATTTCTAAGATGACTCTCACTTTTCCATATAAGTATTCTATATTTACTTCATTCCTTTCCCCCCAGCTCTACCCCTACCACCCCGACTCCACTCACTGTCCCCTCTCAAATTCATGGTCTTTTTCTTTAATTACTATTGTTGCATATACATATATGAAAATAAATATGTACATGCAATCTACTGAGTCCATTTGCTATTTCTTTTAAACAGGACATCACTGTATAGTGAGGTCCAGGCTAGCCTTGAACTCATAGCTCAAGGGCTACAAGATTAGCCCAGGCAGACCTAAAACTTGTGATCTTGCCTTTGGGTCCCAAATACTGGGATTACAGGCCTGAACTGGTACTCTCAGGAGATGATACAAAGGAAGCATTTAACTCCTTCTTAGAAATACTAAGTTGATTTTCCAATATATCCATTCTCTCTCAAAAATCCACAGGTCATGGCTTCCCCCCTGTACTGTGCTGTTTTCTTTGTGAGCTCCTGAGAACTGGTCTACAGAGTACAGTTCTACAGCAGTTAAGCCTACAGCTCTATGGACACTGATTCTTACACACTCTGGTTCATACATTAAACCACATGGAACTCTGAGGTATGCCAGAACCCAACTCAGAACTCATCTCCAAAGGAAATTCCACCTCCTTCAGAAGTAAAGAGGCAGGTAGAAATATCTGAGGGGTAGTACAGTGATTCCTGTACCAAAATCCTAGCAGCTCCTCACTGTGGTTGACAATGTCTGTGCCTTGGAGCTCAGGCTTCCTGCCTCTGTCTGTCCTCAGGGTGCCTACAGCTACTACACACTTCTGTCCATGTTCTGCAGATGGGAAAACCCAACCTTCTCACTTTGTGTAAAACAACTCAGACGGCATCATGCAAAAAAGAGGAAAGACCCGAGAAGACTGTCTTTTGGGCACTTTTTCCTTTGTTTGTATATTTTAAAAGGCAGGATCTCACATAGGCTAGACTGGCCTCAAATGCCCTACACAGCCAATGACTTGGAACTTCTGAACCTTTTGTCTTCACCTCTCAAGTGCTGAGATTACAGGTGTATAACCACCATGCCTGACATTTTTGTTTTTGAAATAGTGTCTTATGCCCTGGCTGGCCTTGAACTCATTACATAATCCAGGTTGGCTTTGAATGTGTGGCTATCCTTCTGATGCATCTTCCTGAGAGCTGGGATTGCAAGCATGAATTTTGGTGTTTCCTTCCCATATAATGAAATACTGATGGGATTTAGCTTTTCTCACTCACAGCAAAGGGGCTGAACAGCTTTCCCAGCTGGACTTCAACTCTCCTGCTGCAGTAATCACCATGATGATCCATTAAGACTGACTAGTCTTCTGTCTCCCTGAGGTCTAAGGAACAAACCAGACCTGAGTCCCAAATCTGCTATCTTAGAGTAGTGAATAACCCAAAGGCTCTGGCTTGGATGAGAAGTGGGGAACATAGGAAGGCCAGCTTCTTTATGAGCATGGATAGTCAGAAAAGTAAAAGGGACACACTTCTACCCCCTACACTTTGCCAGCTCCAGACATCATGGGGAGACAAGCTTGGGCATCTAAGTACTCAAAAGTACCACGTGACCTCAGTGGCTGGGATAGCTGTTGGGGTAGGTTTATTCCGCCCCAAAACAGTTCTGGGGAGCACTACGGAAACCCTACACACATGCCCTCTACATCACTGTCTGGCTTTCTCTTCTGGTGCTCTGCCCTCAAGACAAGAATGATCCTGCTCCAACTTAGAATTGGGGAGGAGAGATGCTAATATCCACTAACATAAGCTACAGTTTTTCCTTGAACAAACTTTTAATTATCTGGCTTACTAGTCTTGAATCAAGTAATTATAAAATATTAGGGGTTACTCTGAGGAATGATTACAAACCATTACTGTGTGTGTGTGTGTGTGTGTGTGTGTGTGTGTGTGTGTGTGTGTGTTTAGCAAAATCGAGAAAGTGAGAGGTATCAGAAAGTCCTGTGACAATAAGGGCAGTCTCTGCCCCTGCCTTCTCACCTCTTGCCCAGAACAGGCAGGCCCTGTTCGACTGGCCCAGAGGTGTCCTTCTTGGCCTCCTCGCCTCCCGCTATCAGCAGAGGAGTGGCAGCAGGGTGGGCCTGCTTCCCCAGGTTTCACAATGACCCAGTTACTAAGGGAATCACTTGGAACCCTTTAAAAGGCTGTTTCCTTTCCCAGTGCTGAGCTGTGTAACATGATACTGACCTGTCCTGCAGTGTCACAGAGTTGGAGTCTCACGGGTCGCCCATCTACTGACACCACAGCTTGGGAAGAAAAAAAAAAAAAAAAAAAGAGCAAAATGATTATCCGGACAGCTTTCATCCCTTCTGAAGATTGGCAACTCCTCTTCTGGTCCCTCTTAGAGAACTAAGAGCTTGGCTAAACCAAGAAGCCCATGGCAGGGGTTTTTATGTACAAATGTTTCAAGGTGGGGCTCACTCCCCACAGAGCACTGAGGCAGCAAAGTCCTGACCCCTGGAAGGTGCCCCGGAAGGCAAGTGTTTTCCTCTCAAGTCTGGAAGATTAATTTTCCTGTCACCCCTGTTTCAAAGGACCTAGAAACAACACAAGGTGGGGGATTAGGTTGGAACCAACCCTGCAGTTTTAAATCAGTGGAAACGCTCATAGATAATTCTGTTTTCTCTTAGGGAAAAAGTCTCCAGACTTCAGGGTTTATCATAAAACTCCAGCAGTTTGGAGAACTAGTGCAAACACAGGCGGCCTATCACCCTGTGTGTGGTAAAGGGCACTCCTCTCTGTCAGTTCAAAAAGAGGATTAAAAAGAAAAACTGGCAGAGGGAAGCCACACAGGTTTTCACCAGGCTCCAGAGATGGGGTGTGAGCAAGGACGCCCATCCAGGAAACTCATGGAGGTTTCAGTTTAAATTAGACAATTTGTCCCTTTCTGATAGCCTTCCTGGTTGTTTATAAATGTTTATGCTAGTGGTGTGTGTGTGTGTGGGGGGTTACCCCTGCACTTCTGGTTTATCCGTGTTTCTGAATAGAGACAATCAGGGTCTGGACTTGGAGAATGGAGGTCAGAGGTAACATTTTTAGGGACAAGGTCGTCACATTAGCTTCTGTGATGTTTAAAAACAACAACAAAAAACTTTGTCTTAAATTAAAAAAAAACTTTTTAAAAAATCAAAATAAAGGACTGTTTTACTTTTGTATCTTTGTATGATACATGAGCCCACCCGTGAGAACTTGCTGCAGCTAACGACAGGCTAGAAGGACTGGGCCAACCGTCAGAAACCGAGAAGGCAGGCGGGGCTCAGGCCAGCAGGCGCCGGGCTCAGAAGAAAGGAACGTTTTCGCAAGCCCAAGCCTTCTCCGGTGCGCCTGGCCGGTTCTCCCACGGAGCAATCCCGGTTGCTCCAGGCGGAGACCTCCTGGAAAGAAGCAGCCATGGAGGAGGGCGCAGGTGGGAAGAGCACCTGTGCAACAGCTCGTTCCTGAAACCCCGAGCAGGGTCGATCGGACACCCCGCCGCCGCCCCACTGTGCCGCTGCCTGGGGACCCGCGCTGCTCCACGCTCCCGGGCCGGGCTCCCGCACCTCCCAGCCCGAGGCCGCGCCCCGCTCTGCGCTCACCCGAGAAGTTATCGAAGGCCGTGGGGATGTACTCGGTGGGGTAGCCGTTGGTGGTGTAGCTGACCACCAGGCTGGTCTTGCCCACCGCGCCGTCGCCGACCAGCACGCACTTGACGCCGCGCCCCTCGGCGCCGCCCGCGCGTCCCCGGACCCCGGGCACCCCGGGCCCGCGCGCCCCGCGCCCCCCGCGCTCTCGGCGAGGCGGTACGGGCGGTGCCGCCGCCGGCTCGCAACGGGCGGGCAACGAGGGCCGGCCTTGCTGCGGAGCCATCGCGGGCGGCGGCCACGAGACCAGCTGCCACCGGCGGACAAAGGCGGCGCGAGGTCCGCACTCTGCTGGGCGACTGTGCCCGCGCGGCCGCGATGTGGCCGAGCCTGCTCCGCCGGGCTTCCCTGCGACACGGGCGGGCGGGGAAAGAGGCGGGTCCGGCGGCGCCTTCTTCAATCCGAGGCCACAGCGCCCCCGTCTGCGCGCCGCGCCTGTGTACTACGCCGGCGTCTCGAAACTGTAAGGCTGGCCGATCTGGCCCCGCCGCACCAACCCACGCGGACCCTGAGCTATCCCTGCCCCCTACTACGGGTCCTCATCTTTCCCAGACCTCCAGTCTCCTTCCAGCTCTCTCAGCTTCTCTTCCTCCTCTTGCTCCTCCAGTTTCCCCAGCCCCGCCATCTAATTCTTACTGTTTCCTCATCTCTCCTGGTCCTTTCTTCTCCCTCTGCTCCTCTCCCTTCTCCGGTAGCCCCCTATTCTTTTTCTTCTCCACAACCTCCTTCTTGCCCTGATCCCTGTTTCTTCGTCGTCGCCCTGTTCCTGCAGCTGCCCTTGCTCCTCACATAAGTGTCTTGGTTTGGGTGCTGTAGGCCCTGGCTGGCTCAGCAGCCCCTCAAACTGTCCAGGCAGTTTGTCCTCTTGATGAGCAGGACTTAAGTCTGATTACAGACAATTGCATGACTTTTATTTTAAAATCATTGGTTCTCATCCCCCCTCCTTTGTTAGTGCTCCCTCTTTTTGGCATGCATTCATGATCGAGCAGATTTCCTTACAGTCTTTAGTTAAGTGCAATTTTGGCTGCATTAGTATTCTCTAAAAAACAAATAGTCTGTTTATATTTTACCCTCCTTTCTCTGTCCTTTCTGTGCCTGGTCAGGGCTCTAATGCTCCTGATTTGCTTCCGGTGTAAGAAGAGCCTTATGCAGTTAACATTAATATTATTTTGCCAGTAGTAAAGACAAGTAGTAAAGACAAGAGCTAGTAAACATTGAGCCTTGTTATGTACCGGATATTGTTGTAACCACTCTGCCAAAACTAATTCCTTCCATTTTACTGTCAGGACAACTTAAGGTACAGAGACACTGGATGACATGTTTGAGTTCCATATAGGAAATGATGGTGCCAGAATCCTAACGCATCTTATATGCAAATGTATGCAGTACAGCAAGTAAGACTTGCAAAGATGGTGTAGTCACAGGAATACAGAAGTGGGTTTGTCAAGAGCTGAGTTCTTTTTTGTGTTGTTTTTGTTGCTGTTGTTTTTGTATTTCGAGACAGGGTTTCTCTGTAGCTTTGGAGCCTGTCCTGGAGTTTTCTCTGTAGACCAGGTTAGCCCCGAACTCACAGAGATCTGCCTGTCTTTCCTCGAGAGTGCTGGGATTGAAGGTGTACACCACTACCACCGCTTGGCTAAGAGATGGGTTCTGTACTCCAGGATCCTGACTGGCAGAGAATATCATTCGAGGCCTCAATACTGCCAGGCCCTAAAACTGCAATGCAAGCTATTTTCAGGACTGAGATATGGAAACCTAGGAACTGACCTAAAATGACCTTAAAAGTCCAGGGAATCAAAAATCTCCCACACAGAATCTGAAGAACAAGAACAGGGTGTCTTGGAACTAGATTAGAAGCCTGGAATGCTGTCTCCTGCAGCAGTATGGACCAGAGCAGCTAAAAGACTGGAAACTCCTAGGTTAAAAGACCAATCAGCCCTCACAGTAATTGCCCTGTGCCCTTGGGCAATTCAAGTAGACAGATCTGCATGTGCCTTCTGTCTCCTTACGTTAATGCTTTATTTTTGCAAAACTATTGCTGTAATAATGGTTTGTAGGCCTGTCTAGCTGCAAGCTTTTGCTTGGTATTACTGTGAGGCCTGACAATGTGGGTACATGATACTATGTTTCTTTAAATGTTGCAAAATGTTTATACTTTAACCATTGTGGGTTAAATCCATTATCCGTTTCAACTCTAACTTCTCATCTTATGGAGTGGCCTTGAAGTATCTGTGAAAATTTTGGGAAGCAAGCCAAGTAAAATTAGGTCAGAGAGACATTTTGTTTGTGTTTAATGAGACATAGAGCCAGGAGGAGAGAGAAAAAGGAGGTGGCATAGGAACACTTACTACTGGGATCGTTGAAAGCCAAGAACCCATGTTGCTGGCATGAACCTGAGCCTCTCCTGCTGGAATATAGTATACTCTATGTCTCATTTGTGATTGCAGACACTTGTCACACAGGTATGGAAACAGTGGCCAAGGCTGAAACGGCCACCCTTTGTGGGAATCTTGTCAACTTTACCTTTCCCCGGCACTGGAAGATCCAGTAACAAAGAGCTGCTGGGCTTGAGATGGATGGATTTTGGAGCCCTACTGGTGCAGCGCTTTACAATAAAACAAACACAACAAAACAACAAATGAACTCACTTGGCAAGCTCAGCCCTGTCTGGTCAAAGTGTCAGGAATGTATGTGAATGCAGGGGATACAATTCTTAAGTGTTGATCTGAATCCCGGTGTTTATAAGGCAACAAAGCACAAATTCCATATGTATCTCTACTCTTCCTATAGGAAATTTATCTCAAACTTGAAGGAGTCAGAGAGTTGGTAACTAAAATGTTTGGGAAAAGGAGTAAGTACCATAAAGTTGTGTCAAACCAGTAAGTCCAATAGGAATACTACATTTTCTTGAAGCTTACAGTACTCATTAGCTTTTAAAATATGTAACTTATTTTGATGCATTTCTTTAAATACTTAATGTTGTGGTTGATTTATTGTTCCTAATAGACCTGGCTGGCCTTGAACTCAAAGATCCACCTGCCTCTGCCTTTGCCCAGTCGAGAATTTTAGTTCTTAAGTTCTGATCGCCACAGGGCCCTCTTGCCCAATTCTGAACATTCTTCCTGGCAGCAAAGTCCCCCTTATGCCATCTTTATGAAACTGAACTGCACATGTACAACTACTCACTCATGGCGAATTAGATTTCTCCAAGCTGCAAGTACCCAGGCTGGTACAGTGCCATTGTCTCCTCATGTCCTAGGACACAACCAGTACTAGTCCTTAGTCCCCCTTTCCACTGAGATGCTGAGGAGAAAATGAGAAGAAAATAGTCAACATTTTTTTTTTCAAGAGAAGATGGGGAAATCATATAAATGACTCCAAGCTGCATCAGGGCATTCAGTAGTGTCTTTTGTGCAAAATCACAGCTGCCAGTATCATGGGAAAGGATTCCAACATAGGGTCCAATTTGTGATCATTGACTACTTACCTCCACATATTCCATTTTCACCCACCATCACCTTGTTGATGGTTTGAATTAATGAATTAAGAACTCTCACTAGAACCGTAAAATTCTACATGTAAAAATCAGTTATTCAGGAAGCATTCCCGAAAGAAAAATATTTGTATCATTTTTGCTAGTTGGGTAGTTGTGCTATAGTGTAGCAATAAACCCAAGAGCTCATTGTCTAGTTAATGAGTGCAAAATCCACAGTAGCTCTCTAATATAGCATTCTTCTACGTGGTGACTTGGGGATCCAGCCTGCTTATATCTGTGGATGTCCTTTGGTGATCAATGCATTTCTGTGCCTTTATAAATATGTGTAACAGTGAAACAAACTAAATATCCAAAACAGTAAAATGCATGCAGTAGCTATAAAACATATGTTACAGCATTCAATCAAGGAAATAACTGATAGGGCTGGGGAGATAGATAGTTCAGTGAATTAATGTGCTTACCACTCAAGTATGAGACTCTGAGTCCAAACCCCAGGACTCAAAGGAAAGTCAGATATGCCAGTGGACATCTGTAACCTCAGTGTTGCATGGGTAGAGACAGGCAGATCCCTGAACTCACTGGCTAGTCAGCCATGCTGAATCAACGAGCTTCGGGTTCAGTAATAAACCTTGTCTCAAAAAATAAACATGGAAAGCAATCTATGAAACACACTCTACATGAATTTCTAACTTCCAAACACAGGAACACACGTGCATATATGCACACTAACAAATTCACACACTATACACCATAATACGCACACGCACACACACCACAAAGAAAATGAGTGAGCAAACAAGAATGAATCTTACCACCAAGTTGAGGAGTGAAAGAAGCCAGGCAGAGAGAAGTATAAACTGTCTGACTAGGGTATGCGAATTTCAGAAATGAGAGAAACTGAGCAATGCTGGATGTTGGAATGGTTGAGGGAAATTGTCACATCCAGAATGGAGGTGGTTAGGAGGATCTAATCTGGATGATGACTTCACCACTGGTCTTCATAGTAACTCACATGTTTTATTTACTTCTGTAAGCCACATTATATTTCAAAATTGTAGTGGTTAGAAATATTCAGACATGTAAATCATATTAAATAGGACTTTGTGGAGTCCTGTTTGATTTAGACCAGCACAGTATAACTCACATAGTGTACATCCCATCAATTAAACAACACTCTTATCATAAAAGTTTAATGTGATTTTAGTAACCAAAATCCTACTGGTTAAAAACTATTCAAGGAACAACTATCGCAAAATTCTACTATACATTATTTACATCTCTAATATTTATTTTAATGTGGGCATCGTCTTCCACAAGTGTTATTTTAGGTGTTTGATATTTTAAACCAACCGAACTGGTTCTGCAAGATTATTACAAAAAAAAAGTAAATGGCAATTCATGCACATAACTTCCGGCAGAAAAATGAAAGCACTAGGGAGGCTTTGAAGGGACAAGGGTTATACAGCCAGAGGAAACATGCTGGGCTCCTGCTAGCTGCAAATCATGCTGAGCAAGCAAGGCATCCGCCACCCAAGCAACACCTTTCCTTCCTCAATTTTGGTTTGTTTTGCTCTTTAAAATCCATGATCTGGGTCCTTCCAGCTGTTGCAGCTCATCTATTCACCCCATACAAGAGAGAAAGGCTAGTCCCATCCCTTATATCCATCCACAGTGTCTCTGGGTGGGATTGAGGGAAACCCAACTGTCTGACGCCCTCCACAAAAGAGCCCCTCTCCCAGACCTTCCTAGCAATTGATAGGCTTCCAACTCCTAAACGCTCCATAGAAACTTCCAGGCAAACACTTTCCAACTGCCAAGTCCTCAAGGATGATAAGAACTCTTTAGAAACTTCTTCTAATTATTGCAAAACCTTGACCTCTCTTCACTTTGCAGCCACTGTAAAGATAAGAGTAGATCAGTCAGCGATTCCCAGCA